TGAGACTGCAATGGAGCCTGGGCGCGGTGGCACGTGCCTATTATCCCAGCTCTTTGGAGGCTGTAAGCAGGAGAATCACTCTGAGTCTGATCTAGTAGTGAGACCCTGAACACCTGCAGACCCTTCCCTAAAATACAATAAATAAATACATAAATGAATAAATAAGGATCTAGGAACGCATCCGTGGCAATTCATCCAACCAGCGACCCAAAGCATGTTTCCGCAGCACAGCTGTCAGTGCTGGAAAGGTCTGTGCATTGATTCCTTAGTGGGCAGTACCAAAGAGTAATGTAGTTTATGGTTAAAACCATAAACTACATTACTCTTTGGTAATGCAGGGACTTTCTTTATGGTTAAGTATGAGGGAAAAAACCCAACTGTGTTTCATATGAGAAGAGTGTGGCAGGCAGAAGGGTGAGCTCAGGCGGTGGAGGACATTCACTGTCTGCACCAGCCCTGTTCCGAAGGAGCGGGCTTCTCTTATGGCTTGTGCCTAGATGCCCCCCAAAGCCTCAAGCACTCGCAGATGGGGCCTCTCACACGTGACAGGATCTAGTGTGTGGTGCTGGGATCGAGGCTGGGCGGGTACTAAGTCTCTCCGCTGGTTGGTTTGGCCCAGGTCTAGCGGCAGCCAATGGGGAAGCCTTTCCTTAGTGTGAGTGCCGCCCACCCCGAGGGCTTGAAGCCTGCAGTGACAGAGGGCTCCTTCGGTCACCTGCTGCTTGCTGCTCTGCTGCCTCCTGCCCTCCTCTGTGAAGCCGCCTGCCGTGTGCCACCCTGTGGCGGAGCCAGCCAACTACTGACTGAAACCTCAGTGAACTAGGAGCCACAGAACCTCACCTCCTTTAACTTTGGGGGTTGGGTGTTTTGTCTCAGCAAGGACAAAAGCAACTCAGACAGTTCTGACACCTGGGAGAAGGGACCGATTATTTTTGGCTCTTAAGGGTTATTTCCTCCATTAATCATGTGATTACAACCACGACAATATTTTACTGCTAAGTAGAGATTAGCGAACAGGCAAGCAAGAGGATGTCTCTACAGCTGGAAACTACTCCAAGGGAGTAGACAGAAATTGTTTCAGCCTCATTCAGTTCAGGGAGCTCATTGGAAGGGCTCACTTCAGGCTGCAGGGACTTTCTTTGGTAAGATGATTTATCAAATAAGTTCTTGCTTTCCATGTCTCTTCCCCACTGTCAAGAACAGACCTGAGGCACCCATGAGGAGGGCAGAGTGGAGTACCAGCGTCATTAGGAGGCCAAGGTCAAGGCAAACTACCTAGCGCCTGACAATCAGACGTCACGACCCTCCAGACTGAGGAAATGTTACAATTTTCTATTGCATTAAGGCCTCACAAGCTGTTTTGGCACAGAGGACTCTGTCATACATGCAGACATTATCTGCCAAGTATGTAGATGTGAATGAATTAAGAGAAGCAGTCACCTCCCCCAGAACAAGCACTCAACTCTTCACTCATGCATTTCACCACCATCTCTGCTGTCCTCGTGCCTAGGCTTTCAGACTCACCCAGCAATCCACAAATACAGGACCTGGTCATCCGAAGACACTGGTCCATTTCTCCCTATCCCCAGCTGTTTATCACCTAAGGTAACCCATCTGTAAAGTTCTCTCAATTCCTCCAGCTGAAATTAATCTCTTCCAACCTCCCAACATGGCACAAGTGCATCTCTGAGAGAAGGGAGGCCCCAGACTGAAGCACAGTGGGGTCACATCCACCCTTCCAGTAGACCAGAAGTCTCATCCACCAGCTCTCTTTCAGCAAATAAAATGTGCATGTGAAAGTGTATTAACTTAGCTGAACCAAATGTGAAAACTTGATTCTCCCAGCTGTAGGACTCAAGGGCACTTGGAACTCAGAAAAATTGTGGTCTCCTTTGCTAACTGGCCATATGGTGCACAATCTGAGCTTGTACAAAATCCCCAGTAAAGAAGGTTAAATTCTAATGACCCCTAGAGACCAATTAAATCGAGCTTTATCTTCCGACCACAGAACCGATCTCCAGGTGCACCGTGGCGCTACTGCCCACAAATCTTCCGCGTGGTCACAGTCTAGATGGTGCCAGGTTCAAATGTATTCACTTGTCATTAAATGCCTTCTAGAACCTGAATCCAACTGTGTCTCCAGCCTTTTTTCTTGTCCCTGCTGACGATCTCTTCTGTTCAATTAGACTGACCAGCTCCCTGGGTCAGAACTCTACACCATCTGTCCAGCTTGTGGCTCAGGCCATTCTTTACAGATGCCTCTCGCTTCTTCACTTCTTGTATGATATTATAAAAAGGAGCTATAAGATCGGAACCTTTGAGACATGTACAGCTCATTCAAGCTCTCTCTCTCTCTCTCTCTCACTCTCTCTCTCTGTCTCTGTCTCTGTGTCTGTCTCTGTCTCTCTCTGTGTCTGTCTGTCTCTCTCTCTCTCTCTCTCTC